GTTGACCGTCGACTTTTCAGGACAGTGCGGTTTAAAAACATTATAAATTCAAAAAAAGTTCACGGATTTGGACATGTTCACAAATTAAAAATAATCAAGGGTTCAAAAAGAATTTGTGAATTTTTAAAAAGTTCACGAGTTCGAAAAAAATTTCATAGATTTAAAAAAAGTTCACGAATTTGGAAAAAGCTCACACGTTCAAAAAAAATCATGGATTTAAAATAAATGCATGCATTTGAAAATGTTCACACATTTGGAAAAAAAATCACGAAATGAAAAAAAGTAAAGGCAAAATGAAAATAAATAAATAGAAGACCAGAAAATGAGTGGGTCAATCAGCAAGTGGAGTGCTTCCTGAGATGCCTTATTAGTGCTCATCCCAAGAAATGTTTGAAATAGCATTCTGTGTGTGAATTTTTATAATGCAACACCAGTTGTCATTTTGTCTTGAATAAATCACCCTTTAAAGTTTTGTATGGTCATAGTCCTAGATACTTTGGAGTTGTTTCTTTTGATACTGCAGCTCCTGATGATATTCAACAATGGTTGGAACATAGAGAAGTGGTTAATCGTTCTGTCAGGTAACATCTCTTAAGAACTTAACCAAGAATGAAGAATCAAGCTGGCAAGCATAGAACTGAGAGGGTTTTTGCTACGGGAGAGGAAGTTCTTGAAACTTTAGCCATATGTGCAGACTTCAGTAGCACACAAAGCTAAAACAATTTTTAATTGTTTTTTTATTATTACCGAGCGAATTGAAGAAGTGGCTTACAAAATGCATCCCCCAGTAGCCAATACGATCCATCCGGTTTCCCATTTGTATCTCAAGAAGTGTGTGAAACCACCTTATCGGGTACACAAGAATTTGCCTCTGTTTAATTCTTCTCTTTGGGTGTCTGTCAAGTTTTTTCAACAATGTGAGGGGAACAAGACCATTGCTCAAGTGCTGGAATGGAGTGATTTACCTCTTGATGCAACTACAGGGATGACTTGGCTGAGCTCAAGCAAAGATTTCCCAGGTTACCAGCTCAGGGACAAGTCACAACTCAAGAAGGGGGGTGTAGCAGCTCAAGCTAAAGGAAGAGCAACGTCAAGCGGGAAGAGAAAGCTTCAACTTGTGGGCCTCGAGATCGTCCACTTGACAAGCTAGGTTACCCCGATGGCGTGCAAACCCAAACTGGGCCTCTTATGTGTAACTAGTCCGACCGCTTAGCTATATAGTTTCTGCTCTGTTCCATTCTTGCTTGGCTTGGAGGAAAGGAAGGATTTGGCATGGATTCGAATTCCAAACTCATTGTAACCCAGACTCACTCTGAGGGTGGATGAGAGAATAATTAAGAGAGAAACACCATTTCTTGTCATTCAAAAGTAAGAGAGAGCTTAATCCTTTTACGAGCCTCCACTCTTGCTTCGTAAGCATATACCGATTACTAAACAACTAGAGGTCTCAAAAGCCCATGCCACTAGCACACTTTGGTAAAGCTATGTCTCTGGAAACTAAAGTGGAGGCGGAACTGAGACTGAAAGAATTGCTTTGAAAGGAAGAATTGAAGTGAGCGCTCAAAGCTAAAGTTCGAAAGGTCATCCAAGGGGACGACAACACTCAATTCTTTCATATGATTGTGAATGGCAAGCATAGGAAAAAGAAAATCTTTCAGCTAGAGCAAGATGAGGGGATGATAGTGGGACAAGAGAACCTAAAATTATACATCACCAATTATTATAAACAGTTGTTTGGGGCTCCTGATGATAGTTTTGTATCCTTAGATGAGTCGAGGGTTGACGATATACCTCAACTTGCGACGGGTGAGAACGAGATCTTAACTGCCCAGTTTTCGGAGAAAGAGGTGTTTGAGGCAATTTCACAGATGAAGAATAATAAAGCCCCTGGACCAGATGGATTTCCGGCTGAGTTTTATAAAAGGTGTTGGCATATTATTGAGGGTGATTTGCTTCCAATGTTCAATGATTTGTTCTCTGGGCATTTGCAGTTATTTCACTTGAATTTTGGAACGACAACTCTGCTCCCTAAGAAAACAGATGCGGTGCAGATTGAGCAGTTCCAACTGATATGTCTTCTTAATGTCAGCTTTAAAATCTTCACCAAGGTGGGGACTAATAGGCTAATGCAGATTGCACATAGTGTGGTGCAGCCGTCTCAAACAGCCTTCATGCCGGACAGAAACATCCTAGAAGGGGTTGTGGTCCTTCACGAAACTCTCCATGAGATCCACACAGGAGAACTAGATGATTGGTTTTTAAGGTGGATTTTGAGAAAGCGTACGCTAAAGTTAAATGGCCATTTCTCCAGCAAGCTTTGCGGATGAAAGGATCCGCTCAGTCCTGGAGAAAGCGGGTAGACTCCTTCACGAAAAAGGCAGTGTTGGAATCAAAGTGAATGATGACATAGGTCATTATTTCCAAACACATAAGGGTCTAAGACAGGGAGACCCGATGTCACCTATTTTGTTCAACATAGTAGTAGGCATGTTGACGATTCTAATAGGAAGAGCTAAAGAAAATGGCGAGGTAGGTGGGCTCGTCCCGCATCTTTATGGAGCATGATCTGGCTAAAGCAAGAAACATGAAGCTTCTGCTATGCCTATTCGAGTAGTTATCGGGGCTAAAGATTAACTTCCATAAAAGTGGATTGTTCTGCTTCGGGAGAGCTAAAGACGAACAAGAAGCTTATAAAAAGTTGTTTGGATGTGAATTAGGGTCGATGCCATTTACGTATTTGGGCATACCGATTCACCATCGCAAGCTTTCTAACATCAAATGGAAGTGTATTGAGAATCGATTTGAAAAGAAACTAAGTTGTTGGAAGGGCAAACTTATGTCATATGGAGGCCGACTAATTCTCATTAATTTGGTGCTCACGAGCATGCCAATGTTTCTTTTGTCCTTCTTTGAAGTCCCAGTTGGGGTCCGGAAAAGACTGGACTTCTATCGATCTCGTTTTCTCTGGCAGAGTGATGAGTTAAAACAAAAATATAGACTTGCTAAATGGGATATTATCTATAGGCCAAAAGACCAAGGTGGGCTTGGAGTTGAAAATTTAGAGGTGAAGAACAGATGCCTTCTCAGCAAGTGGTTGTACAAGCTATCTGTAGAGACGGATGCCACATGGGCCCAGATTCTGCGTAATAAGTACCTTCATACTAAAACCTTATCTCAGGTGATGGTCGGACCGACCGATTCACCGTTTTGGGAAGGACCGATGAGAGTGAAATCAACATTCTTTCATAGGGCAAAATTCATTATTGGTAATGGTACTTCCACGAGATTCTGGGAGGATTTGTGGTTAGGGGAGACGCCTCTAGCTATCCAACATCATTCTCTCTATAATATTATTCAGCGTTGAGATGCTTAAGTTGCAACAGTACTATAGTCCAACCCCCTCACTATTCAATTCAGGAGGACTTTAGCGGGAAACCGTTGGGAAGTTTGACTCCATCTTGTGAGAAGATTGATGAATGTTAACCTCTCTCAACAGCCAGACCAATTGCACTGGAAACTAACTCAGAATGGAGTGTTTTCAGTAAAATCCATGTATTTGGATCTTATTAACTCTGGCACTATCCCTCGACCTTTGCATATTTGGAAAGTCAAAATGCCCTTAAAAATTAAAGTGTTTATGTGGTTTGTCCACAAGCAAGTCATTCTAACTAAGTACAATTTGGCAAAACGTAACTGGACGGGATCGCGAAGATGTAGTTTCTGCGAACATGATAAATATGTCAAACACTTCTTTCTCGATTGCTTGATGTCAAAAAAATTTATGGCGGTCTGTTCACATAGCGTTTAACATTACTCCTCCGAATACCATCCACATGTTATTCGAGACGTGGCTGGATGGAGTACAATCAGAAACCGTGGAACTTATTCGTGTAGGAGTATGTGCTTTATTATGGGCTATATGGAATTGCAGGAATGATTTGGTTTTTAACAGAACAACACATATTCATTTTTTGTAGGTTATTTTTCGGGCCACTACACTGATCCGTATGTGGTCGCTACTCACTCCGACGGATGCTAGGGAGCATATGGTTACTGGGTCTATCCGTTGGGAGACGGTAGCACGAGTTATCTTCAATAGGTGTTTAGTTTGCTATCTTTCTTTATTCCGCCGGTTGTGGCTATCCCGTTTTCTTGCTTTTAGCTCTTTATGAGCCTTTTTGTATTTCGAGACCTGAAGACTGTTTTGCACTATTTGCTTTTTAGTAAAATGGCCGCATGCATCTTTTTGATGCAAAAGCCGAGGATAACCTCCTTTTCAAAAAAAAAAAAAAATGCCTCCCCACTTTGGCCGATGCATCTTCCGCTTGTGCTCATCTCCTCCCCACCAAAACCGTGCCACAATGTTTGTAATCTCATCTTGCACTTCCATATTGACAACTTGAAACAATTCATATTAAGTTGGGATAGCTTAACAGATGGGTTTAATCAGGAGTTCCCATCGCTGTTTAACTTTCTGTACATAACTGGTGCTGTCATTTTGTGATGTGGTTTGTACTTTCACCGTTGGATTTGAACTTTAGAGGCTCGATATTTGGCGCGCGGTCCACTAATCGCACCGGTGTTCTGGCTGGTATGAAGAGGTGTATATGCCGTTTGCTCCATTTTCTTGCAAGTCGACGTTCAGCTCTCTTCGTCGGAACATGGCGTGCAAGTCAAAGCCGGCAAGCGGAACTTTCTCTCCAAGCCAAAAAAAGGAAGAAATCAAGAAAGGAGAGAAAGAACGTGCGTACAAGACGAAAAATCCTCAAGCAATGTGCCGAAATCGGAAACGCCTCCGTGGAGCAACCCACGCCGCAGCTAACACACCATACCTCGTCCACTCATCCGAATCTCTCGCTTGTTCTTAAGCCCCAGCGCCGCCGAGCCAGATCAACATTCACCCAACGAGCCCATCCCAGCTAGCTCAAAGACCTCCGTTGAGCCCTCCATCGAACAAGCCTCGCCGCCCCTGTTGCCATTCGCCGCGACTGACGCCGACCATGGGTTTGGCCATGGGCAAGCTGATGCTGGGGAAGATCATCGTGGAGACGCCGAAGCACGAGGTGCTCCACACCGGCGACGGCTACGAGATCCGCAAGTACCCGCCGTGCGTCGCCGCCGAGGTGACCTACGACCCCAAGGAGATGAAGGGCGACCGCGACGGCGGGTTCCAGGTCCTCGCCAACTACATCGGCGCCTTCGGCAAGCCGCAGAACACCAAGCCGGAGGCGATCGCCATGACGGCGCCGGTCATCACCTCCTCCGGCGGCGGCGAGGCCGAGCCGATCGCCATGACGGCGCCGGTGATCACCTCCTCCGAGCCCGAGCCGGTGGCCATGACGGTGCCGGTGATCACGGCCGAGGGCCGGGAGGAGAAGGCGGGCAAGGTGACGATGCAGTTCCTGCTGCCGTCCAAGTACGCCAAGGCGGAGGAGGCGCCGCGGCCGACGGACGAGCGGGTGGTGCTGCGGGAGGTGGGGGAGCGCAAGTACGCGGTGGTGACGTTCGGCGGTCTGGCCGGAGACAAGGTGGTGGCCGAGAAGGCGGAGGGGCTCAAGGCCGCGCTGGAGAAGGACGGGCACGCCGTCACGGGCCCCTTCGTGCTCTCCCGCTACAACCCGCCGTGGACGCTCCCGCCGCTGCGCACCAACGAGGTCATGTTCCCCGTCAAGTGATGATCAGGCCACCTCATGTATGCAGCTACCGTGTGCTAGTATTCCATTAGCTTGTAGTATTTCCGTTTCGTTTAAGCTGGCACGTCACGTGTTTGGTTAGCACAATAAATAATTGAGTTGTCTGCTGAACGGAGAGTCGCGTTTTCGCACACGGGAGTGCGTGCTCCTGGTTTTCAAAATGTCTTTTAAACGTATTTTGAAATGTTAAAAAATTCCAAACAAAAATTTGGCGGATACGTCTTGATATTGTACATGCTCACAAAGTTGTCTCGTGAAAAACCGACAAGTTATGTGTCGTGTTTGAAAAAAATAAAATTTAATGTTAAAAAATGCTTTTGACAAGACAACTTTTTGTCTTTTTACAGAAGCCACACGAAATACTGGGTTTCTCTAAAACTTGACTTGTACACATATAATATGAAGATGTATTCGTCAAATTTCTGTATGGAATTTCTTCATATTTTTTCCGATGACAGAAGCGCACACTCTCATGTGCCGAAGCGAATTTCTCAGCTGAATGTTGATAGCTTCAGTTGATACGCCCTGATCTTGACGTGTCCCACCCTGGACGAACTGACGAAGACATATATTTATCACTGCAAAACAGCAACACCTCAGACATTCACAACTCGTTAACTAAATTGGAATCAGAAACTCTCAAACTCAACGTGTCCGTGCTACTTCCTCAAACAGTGGATTGGCGTAGCAGAGTTCCGCCGCCTCGCACAAGAAGAAAACAGAGTACTCTGCTATGCTCAATAGACTGCTCATTTTTATTCTTCTGCCAGATCCAAAAAAGGAGAGCAAGCTATATGACTTTGATGGGAGTGTAAACATAGTACATCCATTGAAGAAGCTGAAACAATCACGAACAATAAAAAGATTCCATCGACGTTGAAGTTCTTCGTCTCTGGCTCTACTTACCGAAAAAGGCTTTCGCCCCGCTTTATATATAAAGCACAATCCACAACAGCACGGTACAAATGCACGTCACCAAAACACACGCAGACACCCAAGACAGGATACAAAGATGCTGAACGCAGCAACACCTCCCCTAGCACTACAATAGCAACCGGGGTCCACCGCCGTGAACACGCCACTGCCATGAGATGAAGCCACAAATGACGAACTATGCGCTCCAAGGCGGCGCCTTCAGGAAGGAAACGACACCGGAGCGCCGCCACCACCCGACCCGAGGGTCAGAGTTTCCCCTAGAGCAACACGAGGGCAATGAGAGCCGCGACGACGCCTTCAGGAAGGGAGCGAGATTCGCCGCCGCCGGTCCGTCCGAAGAAAGAGCGGGTTTTCACCCCGGCCAACACTCACTGCCACCGAACGCTACACCCCGGAAACCACACCGGCCCCACGGCCATAGTCACCGGCAGCACCGAGCCACGGGCTCTGCCTATGAGCATCGCGCAACCACCACCAGGGCCGCCGCCCCGACATCCAAGTCCTAAACACCACCACACCCAAGAGCCACCGCTACCCTAAACAAAGAGACTGAGCGCCCCCAAGCATCTGGCCTCCATCGACTCGTCCCGCTGCACCGTGCGTGAGACGAGCTCGGTCCTGTCGCCAGGCGCGAGACGAGCGCGGTCCTGCAGCCGTGCGCGAGACGGACTCGGTCCTGCTGCTAGGCACGAGAAGAGATCGGTCCTGCAGCCCGGGCGCGAGACGAGCAATGGACCAAAGCTGGGGACGAGCCAACCCTCTGACGAAGATTGCACCCGGGCACCGAGAGGGGGGGTCGAAGGCCTGCACAAGCCGCTCACCGACGGGCCGACGCTGAAGAAGTCCAGCCGCCGCTGTGAGACGAACCCGACCACCGCCAAGAGCCACCACCACGCCGTGGCAGCCCCATCCACACCGCGCACAGCCCGCAACACCTGCCATCGCCGGATCGGCCAGGGGTCGGCAGGCCCGTCACCACCAGAGAGCGCAGCAGCAGGGGCGGGCACCGGAGCCGGCCACCACCTGTAGCTAGCCAGCGCCCCGCCGCCGCAACGTTAGATCTGAGCCGCGCCCAAAGCCCCGCCTCCGAGAGCAGAGAACGCCCTAGCCCGCACCAGCCACTCCATGCCGCCGCCTGCAGGCCGCGCCCCCGTCGCCAGCCGCCGCCGCCGCGCCCTGAGCTGGCGTCGCGCCGCCG